GCCAGTGCCTCCTTCTGCTTAGGGCTCAGATCGCCGACTCTGCCGCTCATCGTGGCTCAGGCTCGGGCGCGGCGGTTGCGGCAGCAGATGGAGCACGGACTCGTTCTCCGCCGCCGGAGTAAAGTCCCAGCCTTTTGCCGGGGCCGCGGTGGCGGCCAAGCCCCGCCTCTTAAAGGATCCCAAGGCGCGGAGTAGTGAGAGATGCGCTGGGCGCAGCAGCCTCTGACGCGGGCCCCCTCCGCCCTCTTGAGGAGGACACCTGGGCGGGAGGCGAGCAGGAGTGCCACCCGGGCCGAGGCCAGTGTCCATCAGAAAAACAGGAAGTATAGGTTCCAGTCCCAAATTTACCCTTAGCTCACAGTGTGACCTTGGAGGAGACGGACACCTGAGCTCTCCGGACCTTAGTTTCCCTATCGAGATGCTATCTAATGAGTTATAAGATTAGGTTCCCGCGGTGCAGGACCTCTCCCCCCAACACGGGAGGGAGCGTGCCTGGTGCCTCTGTAGGGGGCCAGGTTCCCTGAGTCTAGACATCGCCCTGCCTCCAGCACAGTCGTATTGGCCTTTTCTCTCTGGGCCCTTGCCCTCCTCCTGTCCTGCCAGTTTTTGGACCACTGCTGCCAACCCAGGTTGGGGACCTTTCGGTGTTAACAGCCTTTCCCCTCTACCTGTGGGTCAGGCAGGCGCGCAGAGGGGCTCACGAGGCATAGACCCCATCGCCCCCCACCGGGGGGGGGGCTGTCCTCTACTTCTGACCTTCTCAGCACTCCAGGAGAGGCTTCCAAGGTGCTCGCACCCCTGGCTGGCATGGAGGGGTGCTTCCTCCCAGGGAATCAGAAGACCTGAGTTTGAATCCTACATCTTCCACTCCTTTTTATGAGACTTCACTCAGCAAGTGTCACCTCTCTGAATCCAATCTTCTTCATTCACTAAATGGAGGTGAGTGATTTGGATTTCAAGTCAGCGTGAGAGGATAAAGCAAGCTCATATACAGAATTCACTCAGTGCAGTGCCTCACACAGCGTCCACCTCTGTGACCACCCGCAAGTCCACCATGCACAGCCTCCTTCTGCTGCCTGCCTGGCCTGGCCTCTGGGTGGGGATGGAAGAAGCCACAGTGAAAGCGATGGCCCCATGAAAGCTAGCCTCCTATCAGCTTATCTGCTTCCCCTGCTCACACCCAGGGGCCGGAGCTGTGGGTTCCCGTGTGGCTGCAAATCTGACTTGTGGGACAAGTGCCATCTGACTGTCCTGCCATGCCCCAGTCACAGCCCCTTCCCCATAGAATGAAGCCATTTCCTACTTTCCCAGCTCACCAGCCGTCCCCCTCTGCCGGGGTTCCCCCTCCCCACTCTAATCCTACTTCCATGGCAGCGGCTGGTCACATGCCTTGGGCCATTTCTCCTCCTTCTGTGTTCCAGGCCCTAGGTGCTGTTCTGGAGACCCAGATGCCATCTTGACCTGCCAAAGGTAAGGCACAGGCACTATCAACTAGAATACAAGGGCAAGATACATGTCCCAAAGAGAGCCAGCAAGTGCCTGGGAGCTTAAAGGGGGAGAGTTTGCTTTGGGTGGGAAAATCCTAGAAGACTGCATGGAAGGAGTGGCATTGGAGCTGGGCCCTAAAATTCTGGGGTGGGAAGGAGACAGAAAAGAGATTCACTTATTGCATGCAGGCACAATTGCACAAGCAAAGTTTTAGTGGTTGGTGGGAAGCATGGCTACAACCAAAGAGGAGGGGAGAGAGGGAGGAGGCCGGGAGGACCAGCAGGACCTCACCATGGCTCTGCTTAGTAGCATCTACCCTGCTAGACCAGGAGGTCCTTGGGCACGGACCCTGTTGGACTCACCCTTGAATCCCCACAAACCCCCCTCCCCCAAGCACAGCATCTTGCACAAGGGGGCTGCTCAATAAATGTATGTTGAATGAATGAATGAATGCAAGAAACACTCCAGTAAGCACAGAGTTGGGTGCCGGGGGCAGTCGGGAAGGAGGCTTAAACATAGATCATTCGGGGGTCAGGCAGCTCCTCTCACTTAACAGCCATAGAAACTGAGGCCCAAAGAGGTCATGACCTGCCCAAGGTCATCAGTGGCGTGACAGATGTGGAGAGCTTTGCCCCATGGCTTCCCTTTGCTGCCTGAAATTCATGCAGAATAAGGCCCAGGAGACTCTGAGCATCTCACCTCCCAGAGCACTGCCCCTGCCACCTCCGCACTCAGCCTCCAGGAGAGTAGAAGGCAGGCCATCCCCAGGCTCTCCGGGTTAGAAGGCGGAGGCAGCTGCAGCAGATGCTTGGGAGGATTGGCATGCCCTCCACCGGGCATGTCTGCCCGGGCACAGAGTGAGGGTCTTGGGTCCAGCCTGGTGACTGAGAGGCCCCCACCCCTGCGAAGAGTTTTCAGGAGGTCTTAGCAGCCCTGCCCTCGTTAATGACCATGGGCTTTGGATCAGGGTAGGGCATGGCTGCCTTCCTTACTGCGTGCATGGCTGAGGTCTTCCTTTAAGACCCTTCCAGGGGCAAGATGCTCTTGTCAGTGAAGGGCTTACTCCAAGGAGAATAGAGGAACAGCCCCTTAGGTTGGTTTAGCACTTTACAGTCTACAAGGCACTTTCAGATCGAGCTTGTCATTTAAGCATGTGGTGACCTGCTAAGGTAGGCAGGCCAGATGACTTATTGAGGAATCTGAGGGAGAGAGGCAGTCACGTGAGACTGCATTTAGGGTTGTGACTTGAACCCAAGAGTCCAGCTTCCCAGCCAACCGCTCCCGGGTGCCCATGGGCTGGGATGTGGACTAGCCAGCGAGCTGCCTGCACAGGCTGTCCAGGAAAGCACCAGGAGAACATTCACCCAGGAGGGAGCTTTGATTTCAGTTGGAGAAGCTCCACGCTGTCCCTCAGATGTACCTCAGCCCTCTGGCCTCTTCAGAGTTGCTCCCCTCTCCTGTTCCCTCTTCCTGCCAGATCCTCCGGGCCTTCAAAGCCTGAGAAAATGCTGGTTTCCAGGAATCTCTCCCTGATCCACCCAACCCAATGTGACCTCTGCCAACCATTAGCCCTTTGCTCCTGGCCTTGACCCAAGGATTTAGGAGGCATGTGTGTCACAGTTTTAGTCTTGGGAGGTTGTGCCCCGGGGTTGAGATTCCTCTCAGAGGCTTCTCTGAGGCAGGAGCACTGGATGGGGAGTCCGGAGCCTGGGCTTTAGACCGCATTCTTGAGGGAATGTGCTGCGGTGACTATTTCACAGAGAGCACTGTGGGGGGCCTGGCCAGGGCATCTGCCCTTGACCTCTGGGCCTTGAATGACTCTCCTCTAAAACAAGGATATTGACCTGGTGGTCAGAGGTCCCTGGGTGCCCTGCCCTCTGAGTCTGTGTCGACAACAGGGAAAGGGTGGTGCGGAGGTGGCATGGTGATTTGAGAGTTGGAGAGAACAGTCCTTTAAATCCTTCAGCAAATATTTGTGGAACACTCTATTTCCATGGTGCCAAGAGAGCTGGAACTCTCTGGAAAGCGCTTGTGCTTGTGGGCCACCATGCAGAAAGGCCCTGCCTCTGAGCCTCCTCCCAGCCCTGCCACGTGCTGCCTTGAGTCTGTTTCCAACAATGTGGGGGAGGAATAAAGAAATCTGCCCCCTTCCCTGGGACTATGCTGTCTGGACGGTGGATGTGGCAGAATGAGGGAGCAGTGGTGATGGACTGGCTCCTGTACCTGCCGCCCTACCCAGGTGGCCCAGGCTTCAGTCCTGAGCAGGGCTGAGTATTTGTGTAGTGGGCATGGGGCCAGGCCCGGGGACACCTCAGAGAATGAGGCCTGCCAGTCCCTGCCCTCAAGGAGTGCCCGGTCTACCGGGCGACCGCCAAGGCAACAGGTCATTCCGGTACCGGGCATTATGGTGCAGATGGGAGCATCCTCATCAAGTCAAGGGATGGGGGCATCCTAGGTTCCCCAGAGACCTGATGGCTGAGCAGGAGTCGGCCAGGCTGGAGGGAGCAGGAGACCTGGAGACCACTCATTCATTTATTCATACGTTCATTCATTCTTTCAGCACATGTTTAACTGAGCGCTGTGCTATTAAGCATGGAGTAAATTACTGCCCTCGAGTAACTTACAGTACTGTGGGTGGGGCATGTCCAGACTGAGGTCAGGCTGCGGAGAAGTCAGAGTGGGTAAAGGGGGCGAAATAGCCAGGGCTTGGGGGTACCTGGATGTTGGTGCGCTGGGTGTCAGGAAGGACCACTGAGCAGTGAAGAGGAGCTATTCTGGGATGCTGGAGCTGGGGGTGGGTGGTCTTTCTCCTTTGGGGGCCTGGTCATCCTTGGTGTTGAACGAGACTGACACGTCCATGAGGGTAAATTCAGGCTGTGGACGAGAGTGCCTTTGTAGGTTGGAGGGCCATGCATGGATCTCTCCTGGGGGGAGGGGTATATATGGGGGAGGCGTGCGGGACGAGGAGCCCTCTTTGTAGACCCCTCTGGTTCCAGCCACAGCCCTGCCCTGCTGCCCAGAATACAGGATGGCAACCGTCTGTTTCCTTACTGCTTGTCTCCCCCACCCTGCTTTACCCACGGACCCTCCCCTCCGACATAAGGAGGCCAGGGGTCTTCAGGGACTTCAGTCCAGGAGGTGGCAGCCAGAGTTCCCCATGATGTCTGCAGCAGCTCCTGGACCCCCTGCTCTTGCCTCTCCCCCTGCATTGATGCTGTGAAAGCAGAGGAAGCAGTCCTGGACCAGGAGCTAATCCCCAGCTCCTCTGGTGGCAAAGTCACCTGCCTTCTCCGGGTGTCACTGGAGAGAAAAATAACCCTTGCTTCTTTCCCAGGGCTGCTGTGAGAATTCCAAGCAGAATAATGGCTGGGAAAGTAGTGGGTGCACAAATGGGAGGGATTATTAATACTATCATGTGTTATTTCTGAAGGAAACTAAGCCCGTCTGGCTCCTCCCACGGAGCCCACTTCCTCCTCACTTCCGCAGTCCATCCTGGCTTTGCGAAGACACAAATCCACTCCCCGCCCCACTCCCCACACCTGAACTCTGCTAATTAAGTCCCTTACCTTCCCGGGTATCATTGTCTAATCCCTAAGCCCTTTCTCACCAGTCTTCAGTTGTCTCTGGGAGTCAAATCCCTTTAGAATGAGGTGGCCCAGTTAGCTG